GGAGATTAGTGCAAGTATTAGATATATTGGAAATAGAATTAATGAGAAATTTATTTTTATCGAGATCAATACATGGGGGGGGGGGGGCACCATCAAAATAGGGCACTTTCTGGAATATAAGGTGCACCTACAAAGGGAAACATCAAAATGTAAATCTACCATATTAAGACATTGATAGACGTACGCGTAACGCATGTCACACACAGAAAAATGAGAAGAAAAGAAAGAATGATTTTTTTAAAAAGAAGATAGAGGAAAAGGAGAGAGACAGAGAGAGGGAGAGAAAGAAAGAAAGAAAGAAAAAAGGAAGAACATGAAACTTAACTTTACACTTAGGCCTACATATTATTACATTTCCGACTGAGTTGGCTCGACATGTGCTTAAGTAGTCTGCGGACGAAAGTACAACAATACGAAAACAGAAGTTATATGAAATTGTCTTTAAGAGAGAAAGAGAGGTTAAATTCTAAAATGAAATGAAAGGGGTTATGTGACTTTCAAGGAGGAAATTACAATTTCTATCGCTCATGACGACTATTTGGAATTTCCTAATTTTTTTTAAAGTTCAAGAACTTCCTGGGGCTCCGCCCCATGCAAGACTCTCGGCAACAGCAAATTATTTACACAATTTCTTGCTGTCTGCTGCCTCGAGATCACTGGAGCGAAGAAAGGTAACATATAGCAAGAATCCCTATTCAGTGAAGGATTTATCCCTTTTATTATTAAAGACTCCCGACAAAGGCTCTCCCCCTGCAAAATTGGAGAGAGTTTTATGTAGTTTAAGCTTCTAACAACCACGCCCGTGGACCTTTTATTAGTTACACAAAGGTAAAAGTGTATAGCAAGAATCCCTATTTAGTGAAGGATTCATCTTTTTTATGCAGATGCTTCTTCTACCATTCTTGACCAGAAGTGCGTTTCAAACTCAATGATATGGGCATCATCCCATTGAATGTTGTGTCCAGTGTTACGGGTTTGTTTTGCTACTTGCTGCCTAATCTGAGGGCTCTGTTGTGCTCTTTAAAAAGATGACACATCTGCCGCCGAGCAGGCTACTTTTGGGTAATGTGACCATAGCATAAGAGAGGAAGAGAGGTTATTTCTAAAATGAAATGAAAGGGCTATTTGACTCTCAATAAAAACTCTAATCCATCCCTTGAAATTTAAATTGCACTGCCCCCATTCAGTGTGCCATTTTCAAAGAGCACAAAAAGGCTTCAGATTGAAGATTCCATCTCATAAAATCGTCTATAAGAGAGAAAGAGAGTTTATTTCGAGAGAAAAAATGAAATGAAAGGGCTATTTGACAAGAGCCCTTTCATTTCATTTTAGAAATAACCTCTCTTCCTCTCTTAGACAATTTTCTCTCTTGAAAGTCAATAACCCTTTCATTTCATTTTAGAAATAACCTCTTTTTTCTCCTAAAGACAATTTCTCTCTTGAAAAGGCTCTGCCATGTTGTATGGATCCATTAGAAAGCAAAATAAGCCCACTCAATAATTGATATAAATTATATTAAAACGTCATAGCCAGGGCTCAAATTAATTTTTTGTCCACGGGGGCTCTTCCCCCCCCAAAAAAAAAGAGCCCCGTGAGCCTTCTCACGGGGGCTCTTTTAGTACTGACGGGGGCTCTTTTTTATACAAATATCCATTGAATTGGTACCTATGATACTCCTCAATTATTTGCTATTTCATCATTATCATTCCAATCAGCATTTTCCCTCTTACAAATTTACAAGCTACATAGCTGTTACTGGCCTGTGTATATAATATATACGCATACAACACTGATCTTTATGATGTCTTTAACGTGACATATCTTCTTCTCCCCTTGCAAACGAGAAAGAAAACAAGGTCATTAAAAGGGATTAAGCGACAAATAATGATTGTGATTCAAATTGATGCGAATATTTGTTTGAATAAGCACTGCTATTCACCCGAATCTTCTTTGTAAAAACAACTTTTACAAATCTCAGTCATGCTTACTGAGTTGAGACGTTCCATTCAATGTAAAATACTCATTAAAGAATACACTTCTCCTAATCTGAAAGTGATCTTACAACACAGTGGCAGATTTGCATGGCTGAGATTTGTAAAAGTCGTTTTTACAAAGAAGATTCTGGTGAAAAGCATTGCTTATTCAAAAAAAATCCTTGCATCAATTTGAATCACAATGATTATTTGTCGCATGATCCTTTTATTAAATAACCTTGTTTTCTTTTTTGTTTGCAGGGGGAAAAGAAGCTATGTCACGTTAAGAAATCATAAAGATCAGTTGTATTATGCGTATATACATTATGATACCAGAACAAATGTTGATTATCAGAATGTCATTTTGGAATACCTCTAAACAAATACCACATTGTCTTTAGCCCGTATCAGTATTAGTATCATGCAATATAAAGCTATTATTCTTTATTTAATTCAGTATAATGCTTTTCCTCAAAAATAGTTTTGCCATTTTGTTAGGGTTGAGACGCTAAGAAATGGTTTCAAATGTACATTACACGAACCCTGAACCATTGCAAAATGATGGTGGTTCTCTCTCTCTCTCTTTACTTTAATCATGCATTATCAACTACATATAAAGCAGCAACCAAAAACTTAGGGTTATCTGAGATAGGTGAAAGTAAGAGTTAAAAAGAAAGTCATGCTAAAACGGCGCTTCACTCCCCCCCCCCCATGAAACAAATAAAATAGATTAGTAGTCCTCCTCTCCAGCACCCCCCCCCCGCTTTAATATCACATTTTCACTTGGCAGCCCAAGGGGGCCGGGGGTGGGAGGAGGGGGTTAAACCCCTATCCCCCCCCCCCCGTAGATCTGCCCATGTTACCATATCATTCCACGACATCTTGGTCTTCCTCTTCTTCTCAATAGGGACTTTTAGATTTGCGTGGACGTGGACGTGTTACGTCCTTTTAAGGCACTGGCAGTCACATGTCACGTCCTTTTAAGCACTGGCACTGCCTTAAAAGGAGGTCACACGTTTCAGTCCACGTTCCCATCGTGCAAATCTAAAGGTCCCTAATATTGATTTACTGGTCGAGGTTCATTATTTGCTAGTCATTTGAAATCACCAGATTTCAGCGGGTTAACGCTTTCACAACGAAAAACTTCTCCATGACCATGTTTCTGCCCTTGCGCGATCGCCTCCAGCTCCAGCAGACATAGCGCGGCAGCGTGCACACGTACCGCTACTAAGGGCGCAGTAGGCCTATAACCACTGCTGACGGCGGCACTGCACTGTGAGCTGAATCGGTAATAATAGGCCTACTCATAAAACAAGAAATCTTGCACGCTAATCTAAGTTCCATTTCATTTGAAAATTGAAACTCAATATCGTGTTAAAGTTATACCAGAAAAGAAAATCTTTATATTATAATTCCACGGGGGCGATTTTTAATTTTGCAATCGCCCCCGTGAGCAACCTGACGGGGGCGATTATGTAGCTCACGGGGGCGAATCGCCCACCGCCCCCGTGTATTTTGAGCGCTGGTTCATAGCGATTCATCCAAATAAGAAATCCAAGTAAGAGGCATTTTGAAAGTTTTAAGAAAATTCTTTCAAATTCCAGGATATTGGGTGTTCTTTTTCAGGAAACTCTATTTAAACGAGTGGAAGCACTGGCGGTTCTGTTTTTTTAAACTGTAACAATTCTCCTTGGATCAGATATAGACCAAAAACAAGCCTCATTATCTTCAGTATACAAGTGTCATTTCGGACCTTACAGCTTTCATAGAAATCGCTTCTGGACCGTCAAAGAAAAAGTTTGAGAACCCTAGTCTACCATTATACACATCAGGACCAACTTGACAAAAATTTGAGGGGGGTTCGACCCCCATCCCCCCTCCCCCCTCCCCCTCCCCCCCTCCACCCCTGCGTATACGCGCCTGCATGTGCATCCCTTCCTCCTTATTCCCTTATCCATCGTTACAGTCACTACCATTTGAGTAGGGCCGGCCCCCTCCTTAATAACGACTCCAAAGCCATCAAGAATGACCCCATAATTTATAGATTACCATTCTGCCGTTCTTTGGAGGGGCCGGGCGCGGCCTTTTCAGAAGTGTTTCTACACTAACCTTTTCATGCACTCCGGCTTAACATAAACAAGCATGCTAAGATTGTTTTGAAAAGAAGCATAATTTCGACTCAGTTTCGCATAACCTAAAAATAAGAATACGGCCAGTCACCCCTCCCCCCCCCCCTCTCCTCAATGCATCCGCCTTCACGCACCCCCTTCCCTTTGTCTTTCCCTTATTCGTCGTTACTGCCATTGTCACTAATTTTTAGTGCCATTTCGTTGTCTTTCTTTCTCCCCGGCTCCTCTCTTCTTTTTCTTTCCTCTTTTTTGAACTCTCTCTTTCTTTTCTTTACTTTTTTGTTCTCTTTTCTTTTATCTTCTCCTTTTCCCCCCTTTTTTTCCTTCTTTTTTTCTTTCTCTTTTTTCCTTCTCAATTTTTTTTGCTTCGCCAATAGGGGGGGCCGCGGCCGTTTCGGCCCACCCCTGGATCCGCCACTGCCCCGTATGTCTTCTATCTTTCACTCCTATCTCCATTTATTTCTCTTCTCTGCTGTACTCTACAACAAGTTCGCAGTTCGAATCACCCTTAAGCATTTTTCGATCGTCTTTTTATGCACCTCTTACAGCAGATTTCTCTTGTCCACGTAAATATTATGATACTTGAAGAGCACTTTGGAGCAGTCAATCTACATATTATGTTACCTCACGTTCTTTTTTATTTTTCCTTCATCTCTCCCTCGCTCTCGCCTCTCCCCCCCCCCCCCCCGCATTCGATTCGGGGGTGCCCCCGTGCCACCCCCTCGTAGCTACTACATTACATTAAGGGTATGATTACATTAAATGATGACTGACATTAATTATGTTACATATTAATGTGTTGAGTCGTAACGTCAATCACTGCGTAAATGTAAATTAGTCAGCCTTAAATAACCATTTGAGATGGCAGTCATCGCGTTTGAATACCAGACTGACTTACATAATAGTTTTGTAATGGCAGTATAGGTCTTTCCTTCTAGCCTTGGCCAAATCCCCTTGATTATATCCTGTCCCGCTACGGCTGCGAGTGCGTTCAACCCAGATGATAGGGTACTACAATAGGAAAGGTTAAACGAAAAAATCAATGATGACACATTTGACAAAAAGAAAATGCGAAAAGACAAGGTTAACAAACCAATTGATAATTATAGATTTTGAAAAAAGCATTTTGTTCTTAATTGATTGTGAGGAGGTGACATCTTTGTTGTTGCATTTCACATGTGCGTTAGTGCGTTCAAACCAGATTATAGGGGACTATAATAAGCAAGGTTAACAAAACAATTGATAATTATAGATTTGGACTAAAGAACGTGGCGCCCTTTTTGTTTTTAATTGATTGTGAGGTGTCGTTAACTAGGGGTGGGGTAGGGGAATTGAATTGAGGGTGTAATCGGCTACTGTGGGGCATTATATAACTGTGACGTGATAGAGAAATATGAAATAGGGTTTTTTTGGGGGGGGGGGCGGAGGGGGAGGACTTGATATTGGAGGGCTACGTAAAGAAGTATCCAGCTGATATCGAGAAAGCAAAATTTGGGCTTTTTCATCGTGTCAGATATCGCTTGTGCATTGTTAGTCATTTCTCACGCTGGAGATCAATTTCAGTATATTTTTTTTATTATTGAGATATTAGATATTTCACATATGCTGGTGAACTGCTTTCCACTCTCAACGCTTTCCTCCGTTTTGACAGAGCTGAAACACCCGCAAATAAGCGGTAACCCCGTTTTTTTCTCCTAAATTTGACAATTGTGTGGGAAGGTAATAACACTTTGGGATAACAAAACAGGCCAACCACACATATGGGTATGGAATAGATCCTTAAAACAACTAGGTAGATGGGGGCTTGTCTGATTACACTGTGAAATGATTATATTTAAGAATTAGACATTCTATAAATCAATAGCCTGTGTGATACCTGAGCGAAGCACTAAGAACTGAAGATAAGAAGATCCCTGGAATACCGGGCATCTTGGCAAAGACTTCCATTACCATGTAAGGCATTATCTGAAGACGGGTGGAAAAGACGTATGCAATATCATTAGGTATGACAATAACTATACTTCGGCTAAAAGATTTTGAGTTAAAAGCCCACTCTACTCGAGAGCAAAGCTGATTAGTCCTATCATTAAACTAACACGAACGCAACCCCTCCCCTCGAATAAAAAGGGGGGGTGGCAAAATCAACCTTTGGGCCACTTTAATTACTCTGCGAATATTATAACACGTTACAATGACGTATTTTGTAATTCAAATATTTTTAAACATAGTATTTAAATTGCCCGTCGGTTTTTTTTAATCGAATTTCTTTTCGTTTTGAGATTATGTTGCCTACAACAGGGAACGAAATTAAATGTTCAAATGATATACAATTGACCTTTACAAGTAGCCACAAGCGGTTTTGAATGGCAATTTTTAACGCGCGATAATTCGAAGTTATGATGACAGTAAGAAATAGTATATAAATGCACACTGTCATGAAAGGTTCTGGTTGAAACTATAGGCTTTAATACAGGTGACTCCAATAGTACTATTTGAGTCACCGAGGCCTATAGTTTTAACCAGTTGGCCTACCTCGAAAAGAAGGCAGGGTATTATATCCTGCACCAACAAAAAAACGTAAACGAATGGCATTAATTTTATTTATTTGTTTATTTTATTTTTGAAAGTATATTTAAAAAAAAAAAATTATACACAAATTTAATATTTTACAATGTTAATACAATTCTAAAATTAAAAACAAATATATCCCAAAAAGTACTCCCAAATAGTACGTTTTCAGAGCAACCTTAAAATGGTTGAAATATTTCTGGTCACGGGAAGAGCTCTCAACCAATCAAAAAACAATACAATTGTTGATGCAGGATATAATAAGGACTAGGCATGGTAGGCCTACTAGACTGGGTCTAGTTGTTAGGGGGCCCAATTTGCTCACGTTTTAAACAGAGGAGTAGAGGAAATTATGGGAAATTGTTACAATTTGTCAAGAATAATTGTTTCTCTAATATATTTCTAACGTTTAATTTGATATTAAAAGTTGTATTCATCCCAATTAAAAGAGATGATATCATGAATATGCTTATCTTCTTGCAAACGATATTTGTTTGTATAGCTCCCTCCCCCAGTCATGTCAGTTTAGGATTAAAGCCATCTATTCATGTTTGGCAGAACTTAATTATCGACTTACAATCGATCTTACCAACTTGCATTACCCGCAATCGTGACAGCTTAAGATTAAAGCCATTTATTTATTGTCCATGCAAAGTTTGGTAGCTATAATTATGTCAAACGGGGGCCTTGTAAACGTCTACTTACAATGGATCTTACTTGTAACTTTTATTTATTACTTCCACCCACAATTGTGTCAGCTTTACCTGTCCATGAAAACTTTGGTAGCAATCAGTCAAATGGGGCCTTGTAAAAGTCTACTTACAATCGAGCTTACTTGTAATCAGTCTTAAGCAGCATCTTTAGCAGCAGGAGTTATCATGGTCATAGAGGTGGTAGGGTGGTGGGGAAAAATTTCCCACAAGGGGGACAAATACGATAGGATTATATGTGTGTTATGTCAAGGAGTTATTACAGTTATCTCCTTGGTTATGTAAACTTTATTTATCGTCACCACAGGAGCGGTGCAAATATATTAGCTGGTTATGGGGATGTATCTTTAAAAAAAACATAATACAGGGGACGCCCCCGTTCGCATAACGCCTAACGGTCACAAAATCGTATCTAATTCTGCATGAAATCTTGAAAATCTAACTTCCTTACTTATATGGAAAATATATCGTGCAATATTGTATATTTACGAACAGCTTGAATATGGTATACAAGTTTAGTCCCTACAACCCGCTCTCTGTCGTTTCCTTCCTTTGCTGAGGGTTAGGGACAAGATAGATCAGCCCCTTGATGGCAACGCCGCTACACCCCATCTATAAACTACTTTGACGAAAATTGTCGGTATAAATGTACTTGAACCAAGGGAATACTGCGGGGAGGGTGGGCCGAATGGCGCAGCGTGGTCGGACTGATTGGGTGGGTGGGGGGGGGGGGGGGGTAATAGGTCGCGTACATTATTTATTCAGAAATGTATGTTTTAATAAATGTATTCGACAAATATTCGGGGCCATGTGTCGTCCTCACCCATAGCTACCCCACAGCCATAGGGGTGTCCCCCATCCAATATTTCCCTTTCTTATTATCATTTTGTTTATTTAAATTTCTTGAATATCGGCCGTCTTCTCGTATTATGAATAGCGACCCTCATTCCGCAATATGAACAGCGACCTCCCTTCGTCTTATGAATAGGGACCCTTATGAATAACGGCCCCGATTTTGTATTATGAATAGCGACCCTTTTAGTCGATTATGAATAGCGGTCCTCACGAATAATTCTCTTCGTGAATAATGACCCTTTTCTCAAATTATGAATAGCGGTCCATATGAATAGCGGTCCTTATGAATAGCGAGCAGACTCCTTATTTTCTCGTCTGATTGGGCGCGTGACATGGACACAGTCCAGACAGTGGACTACAGTAGCTGCAGCATGCGGAGAAACAGCAACAGTAGGAGTTGTACTTGTACAGTCAAACTTGTCTACAGCGACCGCCCAAGGGAAACTCAAAAAGTGGCCTTTGTAGACAGGTTCCTTTATATTAGTACATGTTTTAATGAGAAACCTATTTCAAGGGAAACAAAAAATGTGCTTGTTGTAGACAGGTGGTCACTAAAGCAGGCTTGACTGGTAGCATCAAAATAAGAAACAACAGCATTTTATAGTTCTAGAAGTATAGTTAGGAGAGCAATCTCACCTGATCAGGGCTCAAGACCTTGCCTTGAGTAAAAGGATCACAATTGAAGTAATATGCATACATCACCACACCAGACAGAGACATGAGGATGAGCACAACCCATTGTGACAAAACCGCCAGTGATATAGCCCTTTTAGGAAATATAAGGGGGGGGGGAGAGAGTTTGTTTTAGGAGGCAGAGAAAGAAAGACACAGAGATACAGTGAGAGAGGGGGAGGGACAAAGAGAGAGAGAGAGAGAGAGAGAGAGTTTTAGGGGGCAGAGAAAGAAAGACACAGAGATACAGTGAGAGAGGGGGAGGGACAAAGAGAGATGGAGAGAGAAAGAGAGAGATGCAGACAAACAAAGTGTCACTATGACGATATAAAATTTAAAACATGCATGCTCTAAATATAATATATTACATATTATAAAACCTACAGTCGGCGGCACAATGTCTGAAATATCTGACAAACGATAGAAAAAAAACACATAATTTATTAAGCCATTGTTCTTCTATCTTTGTCGTGTATAGTATTGTCTTGTCCCTTTCTCGTCTCTGTTGGCATTCCCCTTTTATTTCCCCTATTTTATAGTTACTTCTGTAGTTTCATTTGAGGTGTTCACACTTGTACAAGCATTGCTTTTTAGTGGACCCCTCTGTTTCCAACATGTATTTCTTAAATTTGTTTTAAATGCTTATAATTTATTTGTAATGTTTTGTTGGAAACATGAATAAATTTGAATTTGAATTTGAATTGAACATTTTGATTTCCAGGTGCTTTATCCTCTGGATGTCCAAAACATCGTTACTTTAAATTAGTATACTTTGGTTTTCGAGTTTTTAATGCGAACTACATGTAGACTCCATTTTACGAAATATACTCGAAATACTTATGAGTAATATATAAAGCATATGTATTTTTGTTTTATACACAAAAATACAAAATATAATTTCTCCAACTCCGAGCTGAAATCTAGACTTTCTTTTCTTTTATATTTATATATATATATATATATATATGTATCAAAAGCAGAGTTAGTTTTTGGTAAAGCTTGTATAGAAAGTCTTATTGAGGTTTGCTTCTTTAAAATTATGAGGCAAATCAATAGTTCAATATCTAGTAAGATTAGGCAGATATTCATATGGCGTCAAAGCATTACGTAATCTGGATGATCCTCATCACACTACAATGCTTAGATATGAGTCGTAGAGCTAAAAGTTATGTGAATTTTTTTTAAACGAATCACCGTTTTTGTTTTCATTTTTTCGACTAGGATTAATATTTGAATAGATACCATTTTGCCTTTTTGATGGAGCCCAGACTGAGGCATCGTTGTACTATGGCCTGGTTCATGCCGTAAGTCCCGTAGGTGATCAAAATGGCTCCAATGTTCACAGACCAAAACGAGTTTCGGATCGTCAAATCTGGCCTCGTGCTGAAGTTATATGGAAATAGAATACACACATATATAAATATATGAAATTTCCAGTTAATTCAACAATGATATATGAAAGAAGTTATATAACTTTCTCTATTGTTATTTTGATACGTCAACATTCACTTTGTTTCATGCGTTTTGACAATAATTTTAACATGGAAGCGATATACAGTGCGTATCAAAGTAAGTATATCCAAATGTGGTAGATTCTAACTTAAAATCTGACTTTAAATGCCTTTGTTCGAGTTATATGAAAATAGAATACATATATATAAAATGTCAATGTTCAAGACAAATACCATATGCAACTTAGACACCGTATGCATGTGAACTGGTGCAATGGACAAGTAAGTAAGAAGAGAAGTCTTAGGCATAATGAGACAAGAAGTAAGATGGATGTTTAAAATAATTAAAGATTATTCTGTGGATTGAACCAAGGTCCTATGATAGCTTAGATTCCGTATCAGGACAATAACATCCTGGATAATCACTCCCCCCGTAAAACTACCCCCACGGATTGTAACCACCCCCCGGAAAATCATCCCCAAGGATAACCATCCCCGAGGACAATCCTTGGGGATGGGGTGATTGTCCAAGGTGTAATTTTGAGGGGGGAGTAGCTGTCCTCGAGGGGGGGGGGGGGGGGGGTAATCCTGCTGCTCAGTCATCCGCGGCATAAAATTATGAATATTGTGTCATTAGACAGAAGGTAACTTACTCTTTACCATGCTAGTTTTCAAGGTCACATTGATTATGCCTCTTTCATTATAACTTACCAAAATCTGATATATATTTTTAATACGCACTGTAGTTTGCATAGGGTGGGAAAGTTTAGTTGAATAGTTCAAATCATAGTAGTGCTATAAAAAATGCAGTGACCTGTGAACAATTATTATGGTCATTAAAAAATGAGAATGCATTTTCTCTTTATCATTTACAACCGGAAACAGTATATCTATTCATGGAGAACCCAATCCTTCGTCTATTTATGCAATAATTATTGTCGAATCTTGATCATAATATGACAGAGAAGATATTTTATTAGCACGCGTTTATTGTATGGGATATTATATTTGATATACCAAAGGGCATATATACATTTTTTTTTAATTTGTCCGCCTGATGCAGGGTCATATTTCAGAAAAGTAATAACAGCACAATTTTAAAGATAACATTTGATCAAAGTCAGTACAGCGTTTGATAAGGAAAATTAATAGATTTCATAATCACGTATTCTTAAATTGCAAATGATAACCACGCGTTATATGATGGCGCTATCAGTGGCATTTAATATGAGCCCAGGTATTGAGGGAGTAGATGTAACCAAATTGGAGGGAGGGGGGACTTTTCAAGCTTATCCCCTTTCTCCACTGTCCCTTTATCCCTTTCATTACTTCTCTCTTTCTTTGCCTTTCTATCTCTTCTTTCTCTCCCTGTCTCTCTCCCTCATTCATCTTCCCCTTTTTTTCGTCACGCGTTCGGGTTGTTGTTGTTGTTGTTGGTAATAGTTTAATGGCGTTCACTCAGTATTGAATATATACGCCATATCTTCAGTTTTATAAGAAAATCAGTTATACATAAGAAAACTGAGAATAAAAGTTTGTAATTATATAATTAATTAGTCAGTAACGCAACATATAAGCAGTTTCTGGATGGTTTGCAACTTCGTGTTTCTGCTTTTGTATAAGTTCGGGGGGGGGGGGGGGAGGGGGTTACGAGCCCTATACCTACGCCACTGGGTACTATGATAATAAGATCCCAATAAACAAAGATGAAGAACTTCTTGACTCACTCAAAGAAGCTTATTCTACCTCCATCCTTGGCCCTTGCCCAGACCTCATCCATTCCGCCAACCTCGTTGGTCCCTGCGACGATGATGGCAATGACCCCGAAACCATCACGAAGGTCTGGAACGTATCGGTCCAAAGTACTGCTTTCATACCTCCCTGAGTATGACAGGAGGAACAAGAATCAAAGCTGATGAGAGCTAGGAGGGCGCCATTTCATCTCGCATGCATACAGTAAATGCCTATCTCGCTTTGAACACGTGCCACAGCATAAAACTCTTTACATAATTATAAATGGCATGTTTTTACTTTAGTATAACCTGGTTTCTTTCCGGGAAGGGGGTGGGGGGGGGGGGGGGGAGAACCCGTGATTTTTATCTAGATGGTTATCATACAGTATTGTATCATGATCATCATTTCTATCCCATGTAAACTAAGTGAGGACTTCCAAGCGTGGAATCGAATATTATCCTGTTAGAGATGAGAAAATGTGGACCTTTCTTTTAGCGGGAGGGCTGGGGTGGGATGGGCATTTCCTTCGTGATCTTGTTCATGGATATCAGGATGAGATCGAGTGATGCGAGCCCCAAAAGTTATAAACCGTTGTGGATGCACACGACTTGGTGCATGGGGGGGGGGGGGAGTAAATTGTTTGTATTCTAAAAATCTATGATGTAAAAACAAATCAATTTCTACTTACAATTGTGGTATAGAAGATGCATACAAATCCTGTAGAGACGATGCTTGCAGCAAGACTCATTCCAGTTGCTGGAGATTTGATTTCAAATAAATATTATATTAATTATTTGAATATATATTAACAACCAACATTCATGTCGTATCAAAATAAAAACAAATTGTAGCAACCGATACATTAATGTATATACAAATGTTTAATATGGGCAAGTCCATATTTTGCCCCATACGTTACCGATTACATCTAAGATCTCAGTATATACTAAGACTGTACTAATCCTAACTACAGGTTGGGTCAGACAAAACATAATTTTCAGTAACCTTTGGGAGCGTATATAATATGCATACCATGGACTTGCCCAAAAATATTGTTTTCCATTTTACAAAGGAAGAGGTGACTTCCGAAAATTTGTGAGTATATATTTATCATTAAACTGTTGGATATCATATCTATAGTGCCCTACATCTGAAGTTTTATTTTTCAGCAAACATAATATCCTCCTGTAAATATCATCAACTCATTACCCTTTGCAAATTGAGATTTGGACTGCATTGTAAACAAAACTTTGGTTAAATGATACACCTCATTCTCTTGCAGAGGGATTGTCGTCTAGTGGATACGTCGCTGGACTGAGAATCACATGGTTCGCGGTTCGAGTCCCGCTGCAACCCGCTGCGACCCGCTGCGACCCGCTGCGACATTAATGTCCTTTGGGAAGAATCTACATTTGCCACTCTTCACCCAGGTGTAGTAAATGGGTAACTGGTAGGAAGAAATTCCTTGAATGTTTGAGCGCCTTATCATGGTAGCTCGGCTTAAGCTGGGACAATACTGATTGCACGGCCCTCAACGAGAACAGCACACTGATGAGGCTACCTTGGTTAACCAAGACAAATATTATTATCATTATTATCAATTTGACTTAGCAAGAAAATGTACATTGATTCTTTAACAGTTTTGATCTCCCTAATGTATTACCTGCGTTAATGGCTAAAGCTGGTGTGTAAATGACGATTCCCATGTAGAAAAACTGAAAGATAAAATTGAAAGCTAAATGTAATTTTAATAAACTTCATAAAAAGATTTATGTGTTACAACGTGTAAATGAAGCGAGACTTGTTGAACGAAAAAAAATCAAGAGCAATAGTATAAAAATAACAATAACAAATTTAAAATTGAACATAAGACTAAGAAATTCTTAAATCAGTATAAATACAAAATTGAACAAAAGACTATGAAATTCGTGAATCGGTATGAATACAAAATTGAACATAAGACTAAGAAATTCGTAAGTCAGTATATAAAAACAAAAGAATTAAAATTGTTTCAATGGATTTTGATCACAAATACCCTCCTTCATATTTCTTTTTTGATAATAACGAATAGGATATAGGTTATAATTATTTGGGATATAAATTTGCATATATTTAAATCAAAATGAAGTAAATAAAATCGAATTCGCGACTTTGTTGTTGTTGCGTTAAATCAAATCTTGGCAGGTCTCATGAGGGGGGGGGGGGATTTGGTTTTACCTTGAATGTTTAGGACTTCGAAGAGTAAACGATACATACCATTTGAAAGAAGAAAATGCAAATATTCATCACACGAATGGTCTTGTTGAAACGAAGTTCTAAGTACTGCCATAAGAAAAAGAACAGAGAAATATAACTTTGTTATGACAGAGATAATACGCCTAATTATTATATAGTTTAAATGTAACTCTCATTATCTGTGTCTCATAGTATATTAAGTTTTATTTCGTTGTGAACTTGAATTTTTGTTTTTACCTATTTATTTACTTATTTATTTATTTACTTATTTATCGATTTCCATCTTTTTGTCTGTCTTTTTTTTTCTTTTTCTTTCTGTCATTCTCTTATTTCTCTATTAAAAAAAAAGTTGAAATAATGATAATTTTTCCCCTCACAAAAATTACCATACCCTCATCAAAAGTTATATATACCTCGTAGATACTGGTTAGTTTTAATTCGAAGAACATCGGTACAAACATCTGTGTCGCAATCAATGCACCTATTGCATAACCGACAGTATTCCAAATGAACATGGTGTTGAACATATAGATCTCGGCGGGTAAACCTAGCACAGAGATGGCCGATATGTAGCTGACCATCATAGATAGTGCCACAGGTATGACGCTCATTTGACGATTACCAAGCAAATACTCATCGGCCGTTCGCTGCCGGTCTCCGGAACAAGCCGAGTAAATGCCGATGGCGGCCGAAACGAGCAGCATGATCGCGAAGAGGACGTAGTCCCAGGCGCTCAGTGATACGACGTCGCTCATTGTTGCCTCCGACGTCGAAATAAGTTGTTGAAAAAGTAACAAATAGGAGCACACTTTTGAAGAGCACTGATTAGTGTGGATCGTGATGTAAGTGATGCTACCGTGGATGAAAAGGATCACCGGTCAGGGTAGCAGCTTAAATACTAACATAATAGTGTTATCATTATACAAAGGTTAAAAGGCTGGTTCAGGGCGTCGCTAAAATGACATGGGCTTTTGTGGGGGCGATGATCCCCCGCCCCTTCGAATGTTTTGTCTTGGCTTTATCTGTGGAAACAAGCTTTCTTAGAATGAATACATATTTTATATATATATATATATATATATATATATATATATATACGACTGCCAGATGTTTTCCGGGATAGTGCCCCCTTTTAAGAATCGTGAATCTGTTCCTGCTATATACATACATTTAACTACTCAAAATGCTGCATGGTGAACATCTTAATTATGACCGACATTATCTGGTAGTTTGAGACGATGGATCTTATCTTCTTGTGTGGTTGAGTGTAGATTAAGGACGTTGGTACACAATTTGGAAATGCCTGGGATGTCGGACAATAGGTCCTCGTCTTACTTTAAATTACCGGCATGTGCCCCATTATTTCCTAAGTAACTCCCCCCTCCCCCAATTTTTTTTAAAAAACAACAACAACAACAAAAACAACAACAAACAAACACTCAGACAAAATAGTGACATAGCTAACAAAAATTCAAAATTATGTCGACAATTATCACGGATTTGTAGACATAAATGTTGATGATAAGGGGTAGGGGTCAATGTCCCAATATGTTCTCTGTCTACGTGGACTGTAGATTATTGTATATCAAAACTTCCTGCGCTTACCGTTGTTTACAACAAGTTGATCGATATAGGGAAAGGCAAATAAATGAAGAAGGTTGAGGTTAAGGGCGAAATGTTAAAGAAAAGAAAAAAGAAAGAGGAAAAATGACCTCCGATACGTCATGACGGCCTGATGGGTGGATAATTTCCATATATTATTTGGGGAATTCTCATGTTTTATTGTTGCCAGTTTATCTCATGTTGGATGTTTAATTAATCATACTTGAAGTATGTTATTCGATCAAACGAAAAGAAAAGAGTTTATTCTTGCCATCCTTGCCATATTTGAGAACTATTTTTGTTGTTGTGTGTGTGTGTGGGGAGGGGGGGGGGTGGGCTGATGTTTGCTTTACTTGTCAACGCTTATGGAGAATTGAGAATGTGCCAACTCCCCTTCAGAGAATTCTGGATCTGCCACTGATAATGTTCAAGAATCATCATGAAATGTTCCTTATTACTCTTCATATTTGTGTTATTCTTAACCATTTAAACTTTGACTGCAATATATGATAATTACCCCCCCCCCCCAATAAAAACAAGTTGAGATGTAGGGCACTATAATGATACTCTCTCTCTCTCTCTCTCTCTCTCTCTCTCTCTCTCTCTCTATCCCCTTCACATGGTTCGCTCAAAAAAAAAAAAAAAAATATTGTAATCGTGTTACTGCTGATTTTATGAATTGCGAAGCAAACACCTACTCGAGTACAAACAAAGGAATAGATAAACTTAATTTCAAACAAAATGATAGATTGCTGAATTGCTGTTTGAGATAAGCCTCAGCACGATAACATTCGTCAGTCATAAAGATAAGGAGTAGTTGCATATATGCTGACAATACATCAATATTGTCGGATGTGCTTGAAAGAAAACTTGATATGAAATTGAAAAAGGAATGAATTTTTTATTTAGTTCATTTTCTTTTCTTTGACTTAAAGCTACTTGCTTAAAATTTCGAAGCCCTCATATCACAATAATAATGTCACCATGATAAGAAGGCTATGTCTTTTTATGTTAACACTCTGACCCTCTTTGTTGATGGTGTAAAGGTTTATTCGCTGTACCTTCAACCGTACGGGTTGGGGTTCGAATCTCTGTTCGTCTGTTCGTTGTCGTAGAAAATACATCACTGTACGATATGTTCAGTTGGCAATGCAGGAGTAGCCGATATGCTTTACCCTGTTCGTACCTGTATATGACATAGTACAGTGGTTTATTCATTAGACTTTCAATCAAGAGGTTGTGGGTTTGAATCTCTGTTCGTTGTCTTAGACAAGGCATCACATTGTGTTGGGTTGGCAGTGTCAGAGTCGATGATCTTCCTGGCCTTTCTTGTTTATGACACGATGTTTTAGTTTATTCACTGAACAAATAATAATTTTGGAATCATTTGTGCGTCATGTGGCGGCTAAACTTCAGATAAATTAACGTGTATGCCTATACTCCCCATCCTGAAAACGGATTGCAGCCACTGCAGTTGTATCTTTTAATTCTCAATTTGCATGAAAGGAGCCCCCCCCCCCCCAATCAGTGTTATTTAGGGTACGCATATGCGTGTTCCCTCCTTTTGAAAACACCCCCCTAAGTCCGGTGTGTAAAGTCAATTTTGTGAATGTACGAGCCGGACTTTGGTGCGTGAAAAGTACCCCTTTACCGGACATTTTTGGTAACACGCATGCGGTCATTCCGACCCCGGAGTGTGTGTGTGTGTGTGGGGGGGGGGGGGGGGGGGAGGAGACCTACAAGATCGCGAAGACTTTGCCGTAAATAGTCATAATCAAATGATAAAACTAAAACAACAACGGCAACAATTTCAGAAAAGTTATTTCCATACCTTATTGTATGTCCTATAGAAATCATCTTCGGATTATGTAGAATACGTCATCATTATAATATTCCCAAATTCCAAAGGTGAAGGGCAGGGCTATTGAAATTGCATTAGGTTGATTTTTGTGAAAGTTTTAGCGATCCTGTTGACAAAAATTTGACCCTCATACATGTATTATTTAGAATGTGGAGTATGAAAAGCTTGTAAATTTGGGAAAAAGGATATGGAAACTGGCACTCGGATGGTTTTCATTTCCAGGACTATCAGAGTATCAGTCGAAGACCCTCCCCCGTTCGGGAGCGGGGGGGGGGGGGGGGGTCGTCTCTTGTCCGAATCATCCATACGCCTGTTTTTTTTTTGTTTTTTTTGTTAATGGTATCCTTCACCTCCACTGCAAACATCTTTAAATGATAAAAATCGGCAGTTATCTTCAAAATATGGGTTTCCAAACAAGACGTTTAGATTATACCTATAGACCACTGATAAACATAGTTAAAACTTCTAGGTAGACATACACGGTCAAAGTGACGTAGCTATGCGAGGGCACGGAGGCTCGTCCTCCAATGGCGCAAAATTGTAGAGAGAGAGAGAGAGAGAGAGAGAGAGAGAGAGAGAGAGAGAGAGGGGGGGGGGGGAGGAGGCATCACGGGGTAAACTAAAACGACATCTTGGCCACACTCCATGGGATCGTTTTTTGACCTCGTAATTTCTTACCTTGGCTCCTTTACATTGCTGTTTATCTTTATACGTGTACTATTAGCATATAGTGACTTAGCAATATCAAGTCTATTATAAGATGTACATATGACCATATACAAGAGTAGAACATCATTGTTTGTTTTATTGTTTTGTTGTTGTTTTGTTTTTGTTGTTGGTTTTTACCATATTATTAATCTCGCTGACATTTAGTATTGTTTTCTCAAACATTATTTATTGTCATCCCATGCATGCTCATGTCTCCCACGAGGTTGGATTTGAAATAGGGTCTAATTGTCGGGGTCATGTCGTGGGGAGGGGGTGGTGAACGTAAAACAAATATCGTTTTACTATCATGTTGTATTTTTTTTCTACTTTTTGCTTTTTATTTGAATAGAAAAAAAAAGTATAACGAGTAATTTATTTTCATCTCTGTATTATATTCCAGAAGAGACATGCAGTATTTTTGTCATTCCTATCAGAGGCAGTCTTCCCGGGGAGAGGTGAGGGGGACAGGCCGCACAGTGCCCTCACTTTACAGGTACCCCAAAAGTACCCCTTTTTACATAGGAAAATTGCCCCTTTAACTTTGTAAGAATTGCCCCTTTTTACATAGTAAAAAAGCCCCATTTTACTTTGAAAAGTGCCCCTATTACTTTGTTAAAGTGCCCCTTCCTCTTTTCACCTCCGATAAGTGCCTTTTTTTGTTTTGACACGTGCCCCTTTTCCTTCGACAAGTTCCCATTTTACTTTGCAATAAGTGTCCATTTTCTATTCTCATAAATGCTCTTTTTAATCCTATAGTAAGTGCCCCTTTTCAGCTACGAGAAGTGTCCCTTTTAACTGTTGATAAGTGCCCTCTTCACCTCCGATGATCGCACTATTCAAATCTGAGATGTGCTCGTTTTACGTTTTACTTTGACAAGTGCCCCTTCCCCTCCTGATAAGTGCTCTTTTCATCTCTGATGAGAGCCCCCTTTTCACCTCTGATAATTTACCTTTCAACAAGGATATATGCCCCTTTTCTTTTCTAATAAGGGGCCTATCACTTTTCCACAAATGCACCTTTTCATCTCTTATAAAAGCCCCTATCAAAATCTGATGGGTGCCCCTTTTCCGTTGACAAATGCCCATTTCCCATTCTTCTAAGTGCCTTTTCATGTCTTTTTCAGGTGTAAAGAGTGACCTATTTTCACCTCTTATAATTAACCTTTGTACTTCGACACGTGCTCCTTTTCTTTTTTAATAAGTGTCTTATTCCTTTCGATACGGGCCCCCTATTCCTCTCATCATTAAACGTGCCCCTGCTCGCTTGCTACGCTTGTTCGCATTTATAGATGATGTAATAATGTTACTTATCAAAGATCTTTTCAGTCTTCCTTTATGAGAATTTGCCTATAACCCATCAGAATTGGGTTTTCCCTCTTTATAAGATGTAATTTTTTGCACTGAGAACTCACAATCTCAAAAGTTTTCCTCGCTTGCTCCGCTCGCTCGTTAATGAATATGCATATCATCACACCCAACTGCAGAGTATGATGCTTAACCAACATCTTGTATGATATATAAAAAGAAACATATATTGAAATCATCCCTGATAATGCAATCATAATGTCTTTAAAAAATGTATATTTTCGCTTTGAGATTTCTCTTTGTAGGTGCCCTTTTGGGTGGGTTCCCCCCCACTTTGGAAGTCACTCAGCCGCCCCTGATTCCTGGTTATTGTTTTCATGTACTGAATGGCGGAACAATTTTTCGAAATCGAGGGCGTACCATTTCTCCTAAGCCTGTGTATGATCAAATCTCTTTGTCCTTAGTGCAATTAATCTTTGTATTCCTAAATGTTGTCATTGTCACTGTATGTATCAGTGAGCGAGCGTAGCAAGCGAGCATTTTTAAAGAATATTTACATTTTTAAAGAAAATGTTGTGCATTGCGCGGAATTCATTAATTTGAAAGGTTGAGCAGACATGGTAGTCTGTGCCTTCGTGTCAGTATGCCTAAGACCTCTTCACCATTGACTTTCCAACCCTCTTCCTTCCCTCACTTCCTATTAATATTTATGTAACCTGTTCTGATGCACAATACAAAACAGGTTCCTCTTCAAACAGTAGTGATTAAATGTAATTTCAACTTGATCTTCAACGAAATGAAATTCGCATATTTGAGTTTGTTAGGTGGTTTGTCTCTCTCTCTCTCTCTCTCTCTCTCTCTCTCTCTCTCTCTCTCTCTCTCTCTCTCTCTAAGTGCCATATCGTTTGACTTTGGCGACCATGCTGTTCCACAACCCTCGGATCCTAGCCTTCTGTATTAGTACCACTCCCAGTTCTTTCACTCCTCTCTCTTCCAACAATTTCTGCAGACTGTCCATCCAAAGTATCCTCCTTCTTCCCCTACTCCTTCTTCCCACAATTTTCCCTGTCCGGCAAAGCAAGATTCTCTAGGCCTTCTTTACGTGTAGTGTGACCCATGAACTTCAACTGCCTAATCAACATCTCACGTATCATTTTCCTTTGCACTCCAGCTCGTGTAAGAACTTCCTCATTACTAAATTTGTCAGTCCAGGGGATTTTCATCTTTTTTTCTTAAAAACCATATTTCGCAACTTTCCAAACGCTTTTTAGTATCAGAGGTTAAAGTCCATGTTTCACTACCATACATAAGTACTGAGTAGATGTAACAATTCCATACTCTTGATTCTGGTCCTTATACTCATTGTTCGATTTGTCAATTTTGTCTAACTTTGAAAATGCAGATTTAGCGAGAGCTATCCTTCTCTTGATCTCTGTCTCACATCTGGCATCCTCGGTAATCATGATGCCGATCGAGGTAGTTAAATGAGGAGACTTGTTTAATAATCTGTTCTTTCAGTTTCAAGTTACATTTTGGACTGCTCTTCTTGGATACCACCAGACACTTCGTCTTGGTATAGTTGATCTCTAGTCCCATTCTCTCACTTTCTTTTACAACTACATTCAGGAGTCTCTGGAAATCTTTCTCTGATTCAGAAAATAAAACGGTGTCATCAGCATATCTAATATTTGTGATTGAATGGCCACCCACTTGTATCCCATTTTCATCTTTCAATTCTATTAGAATGATTTCACTATACATATTGAACAGGTCTGGTGACATAACACGACCCTGCCTGACTCCCCGTCTGATGTTAATATATTCACTACACTCTCCTTCTACCCTGGTGGTTTGTCACTATGGCCAAAATGTCGGCTAATTCGGTACGATCCACCACACCCCCTCCCCCTTAGAGCGCTTCAGGAATGCCCCTGTGGTTGTTCAAGAGTTGCGAGTAGCGTTGATTTCCATTATTTTACTGTTTGCAAGAGACCTTGGCTTTTCATGTACATATATGACTATTTATTTATTTATCTATTTCAAAATGTTCACTTTAAAATCTAAGATAAACTTTCTCTTCTCCTCCTCCCTGCCACCCCAGCTCTCTCTCTCTCTCTCTCTCTCTCTCTCTCTTTCTCATTTTTTTCTTCTCCCTTGTTTCAACTCTCTCCATTCTCTTCCTAAACAAAACCTGTGATAGCCTTTCTTCTCTCGTGCTCATCTTTCATGGCTCAATATACCGTAGCTACAAATTTATTGCTCTGTAATAAATGTATCTTTGTATTTATCTTTAATCATGCTCAATCTGATGTCTGACTCTTCGAAATATGCAATTTTTTATTTCAGATCATTGAATGGTATTCAGGAATCGTTAGGAGGAATAAACATGGCAATGCACATTGAAGGGATATACATGTCTTACATTTTATTCTATGAATCATGATTTTCCTACACTTTTCATCTCTGGTATTAGCTCAAAGCTATATTGGCAATTGTGAATATAAATAATGTCCCTATATTCTCTCACTTGTGGACATAATGCATGGATGCTTACTAGTATGATAAATCAAGATACATATATTCAGGATACATAATAATGAAATAAAACAAGTATGTACTACTGCAAATGGAGGATTCCCCGTTTGGTTTGGTACATGTTTTCATTCCAGCTTTCACTATTCTGTAAGACTAGTTTAAATTTTGTGACTGGGCATTTCTTATTCCAAACAGACAATATTTTATTTCTTAGATTCTCTGAAAAATGGAGCAATTAAAGGGTTAAATACTAAGCTTATATTTACTATAGTAAAATTTGCTTAAGATTAATTGCTTCAATAGTTCTTGTAAGCTATAGCTTGAACAAAGTATGTTTATTTTACAACTACATGTATAGGCTATGAACCCTTTTAATTCAAAATACTGTGAAATCATATTTCTATTCTCATAGTTTTTAAAATTCCATTAATGATTCTCAAGTTATGAAAGTTAGAAAAAAGTTACAAAATAACTTTCTCAGATTTGTTGTGATCCAAAGTGTATGATAATTAATCTTGAAACCCTTTCATATCAGTTTAATCCAATAGATAATGAGGTTCAGGTTGAGGTTCTAAATTGGCCATCTTAACATGAAGTGAATAGACAAATTGAAGTGAATAGACAAATTGAAGAAAACAAAAATTATGCCAGCAGTATCTACCAGGGAAAAAGAGGCAAACAGACTTGTAAGGTACACAATTACACCAATAACATAGTTTGAATGTTAGGTTGATATCTACTGTTTCCATAACATACTTCTCTAGAATATATCTAATGATTTTATTTTCATTTCCATAACCACTGAAATTTTGACGATGATGTTCCAGCTTTCTTTGAAATAATGCCTTTCTTGATAGAAATCTTGATTAGGCCTAAAAAAATAGAGACGTTGATTCACTTGCATTTCAATGTCATCATTTTCATGAAAGTCCAAGATAACTACATTAGTGATTACAGGTACATTTGATACAAAGTTAATTACGTTTTACTTAGTCACCCTTTCAATTTTCAAGTATTTTCGAGCAAAAATCAGAGATGAGTAGCGACTGGGTTTTACAAGTAGTTTAGGGATAGCTTGATTAGGGTTAGATAAAATATTTGGTCCTGAGTTAAAGCCAGGAATTCAACTTGAGTTAGAAATTGCCGGAGCACAAGTTGTAACATCATGTTACCTTTGAGAGCCCTGTTTGTCTATGATCAAAGCAGACTTGAAAATATGGAATCCATATCATGGTTGGTATATCCCTTGTCTTTATTGTTTCCCTTATTCTGATCAACTACCAATTCTTGCTTGGGTATTAAAGTTTCGTGACTCTTCTGTCCCTTCCTTTTGAATATCTTGTGACTCAAATTGTGTCTGACATTTGGTAATAATTGTACTTGTTGGTGACCGTGGTGATCACTGTAATCAACATGCTTCCACTGCTTGTTGCTATGGTGATCATGTTGCTCCATGCTGTATTGGTGATGATGATGCTGACGTTGATCCCCAAAGTGAGGAAGGTCGTACTGCTGATGCTGTGGAATCCGCATTGGACCGTTTCTTGGGATGCTCATTTGATTTGCATAGTACAGTGTACTGTCTGGTACAGTTTGCATTCTACCTACAGCTCTGTTCTTCCCTAGGAACGTCTGTTTCAACTTCTTCAATCTTTTCACAATTTTTCGCTTCTTAGTAAGTTTAGGCTCCGTACCCAGCATGCTTACTGTTCCCGCTGACTTTGATGTAGAGCCTTGCACTGTGCTGACTTTAGATGGCTCATACCTGCTGGAAGGCAACATGCTGTCTGGAAGACCTTGCTCTTTGGCTATATTACTTGATGCTTTTGGTTTGTTTCTTGTTTGGTGCGCTGAATGTCTGCCTCTGTAGCTTGTGGTATCCACTGCAGATGGCTGGGTGATAGAAGACATGCTTGCTTTTGTTTGTCTTCCTCTGTTCAAGGTTGAGATGTGACTGGGTGAAGAACTGAACAATTCTGGATGATCCCTACGATAACCATTTCCTGAATTGTGCGAAGGACCTGCAGCAGTGTGGATTGCTGAGCTAGGAGTACTGGACACAGCAGTATTCTTGATGACTAGACTATTCCAATCACTGCTTTTATCCCCGGACCTACTTCTCTTCTTTCTCTGCTTTACCTTAGTGATATGCTGCTGTAGCCTCTTGCCTCTCTCAGGGTTTTGGATGGCATCCAAGTGATTTGATGATGTACTCTCCGAAGACAAGCTACGTCGAAAGTAAGAAGAACTCCCTAACCTCTGGCTTACAGAAGTTCTTCTACAAACTTTACCTCTCTGAACTGTCATAGCGGTTAGAATGGAGCTTGCCAATCCCTTTGGCTTGCTTCTGTTCCGAGATCTTTTTTGTGTCTTTGAACTGCCAGTAAATATATTATCTGTCAAATGACCGTACCTAGGAACTGAGCCAATATTAAACTTCTTTGTAGGCCATCCTAATTTTGAGCCAAATCCTTTTACTTTTAGCTTCTGCTTCACAACCTTTGGAGATTGTCCTTCCTCTGTATGATGCCATGATCTACGCGCTTTTGTTCTCCTTCTCTTTCTGGGTGATGTCATTCTGTCATTCACCTTCCCTTTCTTGGATGCTCCATCTTGTTTTCTTGGTGAGACTTGAGGATTATATCCCTGCTTACTTCTTGCCATCACCAATGAGGCCAAGTCTGCTCGACTCAATTTTTCTGCATAGGAAAGAAATAAACATACATCTAGATAGAAGTGTGGGAAAATAATGGGCTCTCTCATCTCAAACTTTGGATGGACATGTCAAATGTCTATCACAACAGGAATGACATGGTATCCCCTAACATAGAGGTTATCTACAATTCAATTTTTTATATTATGAATTGATAAATTGTACTGTTTCACACAGGGGAAAAACTATAAGATATCAAACTGTTTTTCATATGATCAACTCTCTTTTTTTACTCATCTTTATGGATACATATTATTCCTCCCAACTGAAGAACATTCAGCTTCTACTTACTCCACTTTTTTTTAAAGAATAACAAACCCTGACTGATAATTTGCGAAGAAAAAATGTTGATTAATATTGTTATCCCCAAAAATCTTTCTTTGACAAAATTGTCGTTGTGCATTTTAATCTTTATACAGTCAAACCTGTCTACAGCGACCGCCCAAGGGAAACGCAAAAAGTGGTCTTTGTAGACAGCTTCCTTTAGTACATGTTTCAATGAGAAACCATTTTCAAGGGAAACATAAAATGTGCTTGTTGTAGACAGGTGGTCATTTGACTGTATAAACCCCCCCCCCCCAAAAAAGACAAAACAAACAAACAAAAACATCCTTTAATTTCTGTGTATGCATATTAAAAGTTCAGGACATAGGAATCAACGAGTTGCATGGCATATCTTCTTTCTGCATTACTCTGCTTTTCATGTTTGAAAATGATTTTGGTTTACAGTAAATGGGTGCACTTTTAAATATTTGCGGAGTCATAGAGACTTTGATCAGGCACAGGGGGTAATAATCATTAAGTCCTTATGCATTACATAAATATTAATATCCTCCCTTTTGATTATGTTGGCATGCTGAAAAGGATGTCCTGTACGTGGCACGGTATCCTAGTTCATCGGACAGGTTTATCTGTTTGTTTTATTGGCTGTTATTTCACCCTTTCAAATAATCAACATACCCTTTGACCTCACACAACAGTCGTAAATTAGAAGTGAATTAATGGCGTTTCTGAAGTTTTAAAACCACAAAATCAATACTGTGAGGTTCAGAAATAAATCATTAGCTTTTTTTTGCCCCTCTGCTCTGATACACTACAAACATACATCACCTCTTTAACCCATTGGTGACAATGAAACGTTCACTCAACATGCTTCTCCATTGGCAAATGTAAGTTAAATTGGACTTAGTCCTTGATGGGTTAATCAGAAGGAAAGTAGGTTCAATGAATCTCTGGTTAAGAGTATGGTAGTGGATCTCCTGGAGCAAAGCCAAATGTGTTATAGCATTTAGGTAGAATGTAATTCCTATTTCCTCTTGATCTGCAGGCAATGTGGCTGCTTCAACTTATAGGATACTAAAACAAAAACTAAATGGAATGAAATTTATAGAAATGTTCAACAAAAAAACCTCTCGATATGACATGACTATGGAATAATGATAGTGATACCAAGAAAACCATTATCACTCAATCATCACATCAAGATATTTTCATTTTAAAAAAATGAAATAACTTGATAAGTTGTCCAGATAACTGTCCCAGGGGAATCATTTGAGCAGTTGTTGTCCGGAGGGGTACTATAAAAGTCATACGTTGTATGGGATACATCGTACAGAATCGCCCTTCCCAACAGTTGACAAATTTACCTCCAAGATCTGGTATTGTTACAGCTGTATTTGTTGATAGCTGACTGACTGCAGTGACCTCCCTCTCTCCTCCGTCTCCCGTGTCCATACTGACCTCTAGACTAGTATCGAAGAGCCTGTCCAGCAGACTGGCATCAGAAGCATTCTTTGAGCTACCAATATGAAAATTACAGCGTTATTAAAGCATGTTTATTCTGCGAATTAATTCAATGCAATGATATAAAATAGGAGCGATTATTGATTACTGATTTTCTTCTTTTTTCCCCCTTTTTTGGGGCCAACCAAACATAAGCAAAAATACCAAGTAGTAGACTTGTGAATGCTATGCTCTGTGTTTTACATGCCATGTTTCACCTGGCTATGTGTTTTACAATTTGAATAATATAACAGGAAATTATTGTGTAAACTAGATAAGCATGAATTGAACATGAAAGAATATCTGCTTGCATAATAAACAAATAAAATAAAATCATGTGGACAAATAAAAGACGTCCTAAAGAAAAGTTTAATGGACTAATAAAACCAGTCCAACATTTCTCATACACAAATCAGTTTACAGCCTACTGTTATGATACTGTCAAGGCACTGTATGTGCATGATTATGTCTAGAGCTATACGTAGTGCCCTCTTCTACAAAAAGAAGTATAGTGGGATACCTTGTGACATCTAAGGCAAGTCTTGTAGCCTCGTTTCCTAGCCATTCTGTCAGGGATGAGGGAAGCTGGGTGTCTTTGAGAAGCTGTGTAGTGAAGCAATCAAGATATGGATTTCAATATTCAGCGTAAAATGATGATACCAAGCAATGTCTGCTCTTACAAAAACAAATAAGCCTGAAGGATTATGAAAGTAATTATATATATACCTGTATATGACCAATATAGGACAATTAAAATACACAGAATGATCTTTCTCCAAAGTCTCAATTCTTTACTAACCTAAACTCACTCACAATGGTTCATGAAGATCATACTTTTTAAAAATAAATAGCATGATATGGATTAGACAGGAGAATATTAACCAATTCTTTACTACAATCCCTATTTATAAATGTGTGATTACCATCATTGTGACAAGAAAAGACTAGGTTCATGTAGGTGCAACTCTATAGCTAACGTGCCTAATGATATTTCATCAAGTGTATGAAATGTATGCCAAGTTAAATTCCAATCTTTAAAAAAAGAAATTATCATGTATTCTATCTAATGAAAATGAGTTAGTGGACAGGTGGCTAAGTTTAAAATGTACAGCTTACCCATTCAGAATTTGTAGAGGGCAAAGAAGACCTCACTGCTATGAGATTATCATACCATCCCACTGCCGATTTGTAGAAATTACAAATCAAGACTCTGCAAAGAGATGAACAAAAAAAAGAAATGTTTGCTATAATGTCAGGAAGTGGACTTGATGTTACACAATCAAGCCATTCTGTCCTCCCGGCACACCCAATAGTATGTAATTTACAAGTAATATGTAATTGTCATAACGTTTTACCAATGAATCTCCTCTAGACCCTAGGCCATTCTAGAAGTTTTGACATGTTCAGAAAATGATACTGAGAAAACGTTATCGGTCAGCAAGGCCTGATGAAACAAGAAGCAAATTATATCACAGCAATAGGCCGTCTTTCAAAATGATAATTATAATAAAATAATAATAAAAACGGTACTTATAAAGCGCTTACCATCTTTCAACTGATAGGAACCCATAGATAATTCATTAGTTATTTGTGTCATTAAATTAACTATACCAATATATAGATACATGTAAGTAACTAAATGTATTCAGTTTGCTAGTATGGTATATATATACCATATATATACCATATATATATATATATATATATATATATACCATATATATACCATATATATATATATATATATATATATATATATATATATAAATATAAACACTAGGATGAGGATATACAGGGTAAGAAAATATGTAATCTTACCCGACAGTTGAATGCATGAAACCTGCTCTTGTAACAAGTGCTCTGCATCAATTTCCTAACCAAACCAAAACATATACATCAGTCCTAGACTTAACACTAACCCTACCCCCAAAACCTAACCTAAAACCAAATTGCATTCCTAACTCTAACCCTGATCCTATATCTGTGACAAAATAAAGCCTGAAGCACTTGTCGCATGAGCAGGGGCCTGTTTCATAAAACTTTTTATTTATAACAAATGCTAAATTTCTATGACAAATTTGCTCTCAGCCAATCAGATGCCATGATTTCAGTAGCTTATAACAGTAGCTTGTAACTTGTTGTTGATATCAAGTTTTATGAAACAGGGCCCAGATGTTGGGTCACCCACCTGACACGACTGACAATGGCCAGGAAGACTAGGTTGCTGCTCAGGAACATCCCACTATGTATAGTCTCTATCATGATGCTGTTTATCACAAGGTTAAGAAAATCATTTTCAGAGTGGTCCAGTGGATAAGTCTCTGGACCGTGAATCACGAGGTTCAGGGTTTGAATCCCTGTAGCAGCACTAATGTCTTGTGACAAGACATTAATCTACATTTGCCACGCTCCACCCAGGTGAGGTAAATGGGTACCGGGTAGGAAGACATTCCTTGAATGCTTGAGCGCCTTTTCATGGCAGCTTGGCTAAAGCCAGGGTAATAATGGGATTGCATGGCCCTCAGGAAGAACAGTATTAATTACTGATGAGGCTAGCCAGGGTAAACAAGAATTATTATTATTATCATTATTATTACCACCATGATGATAATAAAGGATACAGTGCAGCTTGCTCACACAGAGATGCTAGGAAGATACAGAGCTTGGCACATCCTTGGAGACTCACACATAAGTACTCCAGCATTTGCCTACTTGGAAAACTGGTTACAGGGGTCGATGGCTCAAGGGAACTATGAGGCAGAAATGAGAAAGGAAATGAGGGGGGGGGGGGGGAAGGAAAGATGGCAAGAAGAAGATAGAGAGGAAGAGAGGCAGAAGTAGGAGATATTGACAGAGAAAACCATAGAGGGACATGGAGAGTTTGAGAGTAAAAAACAGAGAGAGAGAGAAAAACCTTCAACTAACAAATATATTGGTTGGATGTATTTTTACATAAAAATAAATTCATATTCCTACTTTAAATTATGTTAATGAAAGATTACAACATAGTTTGATTCAAAATTGTGTATCCTAAACTTCTCACCCTCTGTTAAATTAAGTACCAAATAAAAAAAAAATAAAAAAAAAAATCTAGTACACCCTATTTAGCTAGTGCCATAGCATGGGTCCAGACACTGATGGGGTGCTGGCAAATACGAGGGGGGGGGGGGGTGTGAACTTATAATTTCCTAATGCTATTAGGGTAGGCTGTGGGTGTGGGATGGGTCAAAGTATCTACTTTTCACATTTCCTTTCTCCTTTGTTTGTCTGTTGTTTTTCGGGGGGCCATTTGTTTAGAGGGAGGGGAGAACCCATCCCCTGTGCCTTTTGTAACTACGCCTCTGTACTTGGTGAACTTACCTATCCCAAGCTGATAGCATAGTGCCTGCATAGGAGTGTATTGTAGTCTCTGCTAATCTTTCCAGACATTTTTTCAACTGTAATAATGTGATATAGAATATGTCAGAGTGATGTCACAAGGAATAACACATTTTTCTGACAGGCAAATTTGGAATGAGAAACAAAACCTCATTCACATCACTCATTATATCTCAGTCACACGCCAAAACCGACTTAACGCCGAATCCAAACTGACTGAATTTTGGCCACTGAGGGTGATGAATTTGTTTGTTTGGTCTTATGTCAGTCTTGATGGTGTATCTGAGGTACACAATCATGTATAAAACTCCATTATAACGTCAACCTCCATTGTTTGGTGTAAGCATACAAAGTAAACAACTGTGATGCAAAATAGGTACTATTTGGCAATGGCCTTCTGATATATCTAAAGACTGGAATCATTCTACCCATTTGAAGGAAGAAAATGTGCTCTGTTATGCTGCTGATGATACTACATTCCTATAAATTACAATTCGTTGTCCATTGTTTGCGCATTTATGCCTTAGCAACTTTTCTGTTCATAAGACTTTCATTTATATTTTTATATTACAGTGTTACCGGGTTTCTCTTTTACAATTTAAATTCAATTTCTAGTTTTCAGACTGTTATAATTACCTTCACAAGTAGTCCATACAATTTCCAGCTCCTTTGGGAATTCTTATTTTTGTAGAGGAAACGAGAGAGTGTGACTAGCTCCCCTTTCAGCAGTGAACCATTGAGATCCTTGCCATTGTAAATGGAATGTAATGTAGCTTTCAAACAATCATTGGAGTGTGAATGCTCACCTAAAAAAGGAGAAATAAATAAAATAATGATTTTAATGGCCAGTTACTGAATTTCAATCGTGAAAGATAAATATTTAAGATGTTAATTCAAATAACCAATTACACTTTAGGCAAATTGAGCATGAACAGTTTGGAGTGAACATTTTTATGATAGAGGTCTAGATGATAGATCTAGAGGTCTATAAAAAGTAGATTATATTGTGTCGGATATGTAATGTAACACTAATGTAACACTTACACAATGATTGAGTCTACTATTGGGATTCATTACTAAAGTCAAAAGTTTAAAGAGCTTTTATATATTCCACAAAGCTCAAAGGCATAATTCATAACTTACACAATTTAGATCTACTTTAGTTTCACGAACACAAAAATCAACATGTGGGACTCGCATTTATAAATGCAGAATAGTTCACAAGCATTCGTTCTGTAACCTTACATAACATGTAATAAAATAAACCACTAAATTAATAAAAATGCTACTTATTACCATCTTTCAATCTTGTTAAGTTAATTCTCAGGAAATTAGTGGGTGGAGGAATCAACTCTCTGGAATTCCATTGATCACAGGGCGCAGCCATCTTGCAGTAAGAAAAAGAATTAGTTTTTCTTCGAGTCCAAGGGATTAATAAGCGAAGTGAAATGATTTAAAATGTAACTGTAGTTTGCCGTATAATGATTTCTAATCTCTTTGTTTCATTAAAAAATAAGTTAAATCATCAACAATAAAACAGTTTTACATGTATACTGAATTTTGTCAATTTGATGGTATATTTTCCATTTCTATCTTTCTATTTACAATGCAGTAGTATGCATGTGAAAGACTAACACATTTGGCTGGTAGAGGGGCGGGGCTTAATTTAACCGTTGACTGTGCTATGTTGTTGTTGACATCGATGCAGAAGAAGAGAAACTGACATTATTTTCACTTTCAGGCAGGGAAATCATGTTTAGGTCTATAGCTTTTCGACAACAGTTCGCCAGAGGTTACAGGGACTTTGTTAATAGAGTTGGTGAGATCGCACTTTTATTTAGACAATTCTATTTAGAGTAGACGTACAGTAACTAGTCGTCTAAGTTACATCTCAATTCTCATGACTCATGAGACATGAGTCATGATATGAATGATGTACTAAATTAGCTAGATTTATTTATATACCTCATACATAGATTGTCATTCACTGATTGGTCAAAACTATATCACATGTCAAAGAGCATTTCGATCTATCAAGTATCATTACGTCAGAGGGTTTGATAGCTACTATCAAACCCTGGGATAGGACCCCTAAGGCCTAACCCCTCCTGCGACTTAGTTGCGCACACAAATTTTTTGAGTTGCTAGGCTACCGCAATCGCGCGCACGGTTACGCGCAGCGCGTAGGAATTCAATACTCTTGATCTTGCCTTTAATTTTGACTTGATGTTGGATTTTTCTTATTCTGGTGAGTGAATTCCTCTTGATCTCGTTTCCTGTTTTTTAGAGCTAGATCTCGACATACAGCTAGAACTAATCATGAATCAATAAAAAGGATGAGGTATATAAAACAAATATGGACTGCTCTGTAATCGGATGATGGTGGGAACTACCACTCCCTCGGTGGTATTCACACCGGCCCTTCTATCACCCCCTCGGCTCCGCCTCGGGGATGATAGAAGGGCCGGTGTGAACACCACCTTGGCCTTGGGAGTGATAGTTCCCACCATCATCCTCATGAGCAGTCAATATTTGTATACTAGTGTACTTTCGTATCCAGTTTTGACCCGTAACTCTGGTGTGCAGATACCCTACTGAAACATACCAAAACATCAACTTAATCTTCATCAATTGTTTAAATAATGGTCATGTTATAAAATCGTTAATATTTCTTGCCTTTTCGTGTCAATTTTCTTATTTTGGGGGAGAAATTTTTCCAAAAAACGAAGACAAAATAAACACTTTCTCACAGGTTTCACGCAAACCGCTGCACAATTACAAATACAATTGCATTCACGCACGTGGGCCCGCCCGCACCCCTTCGTCGGTATATGCTGTGATATTAAATGTTTGTTTTGTATGCAAAATGTTCTTATTTGACAACAGATAGGTTTTTTTCATTTCTTCAACTAATTTTGGTACATTTTTTCTTTCCTAAGTGGTATGAATATGGTTTATGTCATTTTAGGTATTATTCAAAAGGCAAGGGAACCTTTGTTACCAAGACTGCGCTCGTCTCGGCATTGGAGGACAACATGTACACGTTGCCATGGTAGCAGTGCAGCAGTCGCAAAGGAGAATGTGGTGATGGAGGGGCTCAAGCAGCGCATCCGTACGTTAGGTGCCATCACAGTAGCAGACTATATGAAAGAAGTCCTTACAAGTCCTGTCGGGGTATGCATGAAGAAATCAATTTTTTTTCTTTCTGTGAAAGTTTAGGATAAGATAGGCTTGATGCAATTTATAACAGAAACTTGTGCCATATTCATTATAAACTGTATTGAGCAGGAGTTGTTATAGACTAGCAATAATCTGTTTGTAATAACTGTTTTAGGCCCGTAACTGGTCAAAGCTGATTGTAAACCTCTCACAGCAGAGCCTGTTTCTGCTCGAAAATTCTAAAACGAATTAAAGTTATGTATTACTTTATAAATTGTGTGAGATGAGGCTTTATATATATCATTCACCATCAACATTTTAAGTCATCACATTACTGTTTCCCCAATATCTAGCAAAAGTGAGAGCCATGTTGTTGACCTCTGCCAGGTATCTAGTGCATGCATAATTAATGTGTCATGAAGTGTGTCACAGCTCAACAGACAATATATGGTCTTGGGGCCCTGCCCATACCCATATTGCATACTCTGTTTGCAGTGTCATTATTTCCGCACTTCAGGGAAAAAATTAATATCTTTTTTTCGGGGGCTACTTTTCAAGCTTGCCTGCATGAAATTAACACTCTAAAATTTGTTTTGCATTGAACTCTATGCAAATTAAGAGGGGCTCTTTTCTGATTTTCGGGGGCTCTTTTGCGCATTTCCGGGGCTAATTTTTCCAGAGCCCCCGCACTTGTGCATATTTTCCTTGCAAATATGTTATTTCTGTTCCTAGTATACATTTGGTGTAATCAGCATAGGTGTCGGTGAAATTTAAAAGATGATCCACACTTTACCGGTACACAAAATTTCAAACAAAATTTACAAGTATTTCAATTCTCATTCAAAAGGTTTTGTATTTACTCCCTTTCTTTTTCTTCACTGGAAATAAGTATCACCATCAACACTATTCCTTTCTATATTCTCTAGGGTTACTACATGCAAGGAGATGTATTTGGCGAGAGAGGAGACTTCATTACTTCACCAGAGATCAGTCAGATGTTTGGAGAGGTATTAAGTGAAGTATTTTATTTCTTTGTTTCACTAATCCACATAGATTGTGAGTTTTCCAAGGGTCTACATGCATTTATCAGCTTTATTCACCTCAAACCGGCACCAATTATTCTTAGCTTTCTGCTCTTACATTCATATCAATGTGAGTATTATAATTAAGTACTTTGTGAACTTTCTCATTCTTATGTCATTTTGGAAGAAATTCATTACAGAAATGTCTGTGTTCACACCTGGTTTTTTGAAAGTGTGTTAGCACAGCAAATTCCTGGGCTAAGCTGACCCTGCTGCCAAGTAGGGTTAGCGCTGAAATTGCGGTGCTAACCTGTCAGGTGTGAAAGCATGAGCCGATAGCCTAATTTCTTAGCCCGGGCTATCCTTGGCTAGCTAGGCTAAGAATAGCCCGGGTTATCTGAACCTTATTCTTATTCTATGTCTTATTAATTTAAGGATAAAGGATAATGTAATCTGCCTTTCCAAATTGCCTGATATCCCTTCTGTTTTTGTTTTCTCTTTCTTGTAGTTGATAGCATTGTGGATCATCCATGAATGGTCTAGACTAGGATGCCCTAGACCACTGCAGCTGGTGGAGCTTGGTCCTGGAAGAGGCACCCTAGCTGATGACGTACTCAGGGTAAGGATATTTGATAATATCGATATATTGACTGTTATGAGAGGTCTGGCTGTTTTATATAGGCTCAAGGTCCCCGAGCGCCAACAGCCAGGCCTCAAATATTAAAGCAGTCGATATGTCTTTCATATACCGAATTGACACAAAAATCTACCAAGAATTCTTACCTTATCCTTTTCTTGAGTGAAGATTGGTTAAAGCATCCTGGAAAATCTGAGACACTGTCTGTTAATCTTAGCTGGAAATATGACTGACAATGACAATGACAATGATTGAATGTTACAATCATTTTGGAATTGCAGGCAAAAAGCACTGTATGGTATCCGCGCTCGCACCAAGTAAGTTTTAATACGTAAATCAATGGGGATCACAGCATATTTTTAAATATTTTCCCAGTACCCGGATTTTTGCGGGAATCTCACTCATGAACTATTTACCTGTACTGGCAATGTTCGTTTCTTTACGGGAATGGCTAAAATCATGACTCCAATCAGATTGCTAGATTTCTAAGGAGATGTATATAAAGTATACCAGTCACCTGAAAAAATAGTTTGTGTACAGATAGAATGTATGAAATCAAAATCTTGCATTTTTTGAGGAAATGAAGGATACCATAAGACCCCGAGCTTGGATTGGAACCCAAGTCAGAATTTGTATTTATTCAAGGCAAGTCCTACTAGTCGCTTTTATTGAGAGAGAGTTTTTACTAAAAGTGTATTCAAAGTAATATACATTTGAATTTTATATTTTGAATTGTATACAGAGATGGAAACCCTTGCATACAGTGCAAATTAATTGTTGCATGGTGTGTGTACTTGTGATTGGTACACTTTAAAGCCCCAACCAGGGATTAAGCCCTCAAAAACTTATCTTAAAATGTATCTGTAGCAGCAAGATGAGTTTATGAAAGTATGCGTACAATTAGAAATAAAACAAATGTTTTTCTCTCTATGAGTTAAAATTGAAGCCCTCATTTTGTCACAAGCAGGAGAGAAAATTTCTTCCAACAATGAGATCACCACCACACTATTAAATTAAAAAAATAGATTTTGTCTGTTTCCAATTAAAGTATTTTGTATATGTATTTTGTAAATGTACACCAAGTATGATAATAGCAAATAATTACCAATTTGATGCTGTGTCAACAAATCATTTCTCAGTACAGGGACCCATTTCACAAAGCTTTTTTTCAATGTCAAATGTCAAAAATCAGTGACAAATCTGTTGACAACCAATCAGAAGCAAGGATTTCAGTAGCTTATATAAACAAAAACTGTCATTTGTCACTGATGACAAGTTTTGTGAAACGCCCCCCAGGTCTTCAAGCAGTTTCCTCAGCTTCCCCTGGACACCCTGAGCCTTCATCTTGTCGAAGTGAGTCCTGGCATGAGTGATGTCCAGCACAAGACACTCACAGGTCACCAGCAGAGGTTAAAGGAGGAGGTCAGTGGTGGGATCGTAGATGGCATACCGTACAGGTCAGCATCGGTCAAGGGGGGTATTCCTGTCTCCTGGTACACAAGTCTTTCTCAAGTTCCAAATGGTAAGCCTTCTTTAAATATAGATTGAATTTGATTTTTGTTTGCATACCCACTAACAGTGGCGTTGCATGTGTCCAGGAGTTTAGGAACCCTCACATTTGGGTTGCAGTGGCAGATCTATGGGCAAAGGGGGGGGGGGCATGGGGGTCTGGACCCCTTTTCTTTTTGTCTGCTTATTAGAAATTTGGGGGATTAAACCCCCCCCCCCTTGAGCTGCCTCTGATTTTACTGATCTTAATAGGTGTATGAAATAGGGATTAGAAGGGCTGGTGGTTTATTGGGGGGGGGGGTGGCATGTTGGAGGGTCCTATCACTTGTTTTGTTATACATTGTCCTCCACTTCTCCCTTCATATCTCTCTTTTGTTTATTAAATATTTACTTTATTTTCCCCCTTTTTTATTATTATAATTTGGTTGGGGGGGGGGGGGACATGTGCACTTGTTGCTATGCCACTTCCTGAATTAACTTATTTCAAGGGATTAAGTAATTGGGGATTAAAAGCCTATAATCAAAGGTCACAAGCTCATTAATTGACTTCATTTCAAATCTAGGACCACCAAATAACTGCATCAAAATACCTGTCTGATTACATATAATGCAGCAATTGGAAAAAACTTGTCAAACTAGACTAGGAGGGAAAAAAATGTGTGACCATTCTTACTATGAACATGACAGACAAAGAAAGAGGACAGAATATACAGTTCCCCATTCTACCCTCAACAATTGCTGTGGTAGACAAAGGAACATCCCTTTACTGCTATTATGTAAAAATAAGTAGAACAGGTGAATATGCATGTGACACCTGTTCTACACATTTTTACATAATAGCTGTGAAGAGATGTTCCTTTGTCTACCAAAGCAATTGTTGAGGGTAGAATGAGGAACTGTATATTTTGACCTCTTTCTTTGTCCGTCATGTTCATAGTGGCTTGCTCATAGTATGGAGTCTGAGGAATAAAGACTATGCTAGGGTGAAGAATTGTTATTATGATTATCACACCCTAGGTTTGTGTGCAGTGCATCTATTCTGACTCAAATTCAATAGAATTGTTTACTATTTATAGAACAAAAGTTGCTTTTGACAGTCGGAGAGCTTGCCAGACATAGCAACAACTAATGTATGCTAAGTGGATTCCTTCCATACAGATACCACTATGCATAGCAGGTGCATTAAATAGTAACTAAGGTTTCCAGAGAGATTTATAAGTATGCATAACTTTAAATACCTAAGGAAACAGGCCCATAGATATTGCATTGCTAGGCAAGCAATTAGGTGTTTTCTTTGTAATACAGTATGTAACAAGCTTGGATGAGCAAGCTCATTATTATATAGTCAGTCTGTAGTCAGCTGTAGTAGGGAGAGGATCTACTGTGTTTAGGCTGGGGCAGCTCCGGGTGAAGCCACGCCTAGCTCGATATCATTACTGGAAGTCAGCAGTCATGTTGTACATGGGTGGGTGCTAAAGAGGTCAGAATGAGGTGATGATGCTGTAATAGCAGAACATTTTACTGAAAGATTATAAAATTACTTAAGAGACTAGGGTGTTTTGGGAAACCACTTGTTCCTTTGCATGCACATGCATGCTTGTGTGTCTAGAGTCTATATAGGATTGAAAAAGGAGACCTATGAAGTGCTACTGTGCGGGGCGAATGGATTCCTATTTCATGATAATGCAGAGTCGACCCCAACTGCTTTTAACTATTGCCCAACATTAATAGAGTATATTTTTAGCTTTTAATCTGAGAACAGTCTTTCTATGCAGATATGTTGGAGATGTGTAATTCATAAAATCTAATGTGAATGATCTGTTTATTTTTTCTTTTTCTCCAGGTTTCACATGCTTCCTTGCACATGAGTTCTTTGATGCCTTACCAATTCACAAATTTCAGGTATTTAATAAAGTCTTGCATGTTTCTTACAAATTAGGAATTGTACAGATTAGCATTAAGGGCTTGATAATAATGTAGTTGTGAACAGTGAACTTAACGTTTGCTATCCCGCTCCTACTCCTAATGATCTTGCACTGCAATTAAAATTGAAGGTAAAAATGACCTAAAATTAGTAAATATCTAACCAGAGCAATACTTCCTTTCCACATGTAACAGATGACTTTACGATCTGTATTACAATGATGTTGACCTCTGACATGTGTTGATGACACTTCCATAAAGTGCACTTCGTTTTTATACTGCATCCGGCTTTGGTAAAATGTGCTGTATATGAAGGATACTGTATATGAAGGAAGATCTGGTAATGGCTAATTTTAGGTCATTTTTACCTCCTGAGTTTTAATTGCAGTGCATCATTAGGAGTAGGAGCGGCACTTTAAGGCTAGTACAGATGTGCATACATTTAGTTGAGGTTTTCATTTCAAAACTTAAATTAACATTTTCAATTTTTTTTTTTCTCTCTTTTCCTCATACGAGGCACTTTATTACTTTATATCATTTTAACAACATTGCATATATAGAGTTTAATAACAATATATATATATTTATATTTGCAATAAACAAACTGATATGAACATTTTCAATATACATCTTTGTGTTTTATTTTATATTCAATATTTTGTTTTGTGCATATCATGGTGTATGGCATCGATTCTGCTCTACCAGCTCCTTGAAATGCTAAAAGTTCTTCAAGATGGCGAGAGATAATGATTCATATTATTCATATTCATATTTATTTCATTTCCAACAGAAAGGTAAACAAAGATATTACATTTTTTTTCATACACAATTCATTTTTTCAGGAAACTATACAAATAAACTTTGCACATAATAAAATTATTACAAGAAATTCTTAATTTCTGAGGAAATGGGGGGGGGGGGGATCCACTAAAATGCAGTGCTTGTAGTTTGATTGATGTGGATGATGATTCAAACAGTCCAAATGATCTGAGGTTTGTGCTCTCACCAGCTCCTTGAAATGCTAATTTTCACATTTCTGTTGTTCCAGAAAAGTTCTTCAAGATGGCGAGAGATAATGATTGATGTGGATGATGATTCAAACAGTCCAAATGATCTGAGGTTTGTTCTCTCACGAGCTCCTTGAAATGCTAATTTTCACATTTCTCTGGTTCCAGAAAAGTTCTTCAAGATGGCGAGAGATAATGGTTGATGTGGATGATGATTCAAACAGTCCAAATGATCTGAGGTTTGTGCTCTCACCAGCTCCTACACCGGCTTCCAATTCCTTCATCCAGGTTAGTGTTAATTTCCACAATTTTCTGTTCGACAACACCTTTAGCTATGACACAGACATTTATACAATTTGTTTTACAATAAAGCTTTCTGTTAAAGGTACTATGTCCCATTAGCAGGCCCAAAAAATGAAAAGGTTAAATTCCACCCGCATTTGAAACAAGATAATACTAATTTAGAACTTCCCTCAAAACGAAATTAGGGCTTGAAAATGTCTTTTTGTGGGAAAATAACGACGTTCAGTGGTCAAATCGACTTTAGGGATTGCAATCCTACTAGTAAATAGTCTTATTTTCAGACCCTTGTACCAAATGGAGTATGTTTTGTGCTGCTCAAAAATTCAATCAGTTTAATTTTGGCCATTACAACTAGAAGTGGGTTATTGATGTAGACAAATGCTCGTGTACCCTTCACAGCGCATGTTATGTACCGGCCGGTATGTTAATACCAAAGAAAAATTGTAGTCAGTCACTCAATAGTGTCTGACATTGAAGTCTAAAAAGTGAGCAGGTTTCCTTGCATAATTTGAATACTAGGACACTGCCGACGTTTAAATTTCACAGATGGCCTATGTGACATATTCATAATTCCTGCAAAGTTCTACAGAATTTGATGTTGCCTGCAAATGGGACGTGGAACTTTTAACACCTAAACTAGATTCATGAACCCCCTAATCAGACTAATCAAAATTTTCACTGAGTTTAAAAAAGAAAGAAAGTCTCGTCTATTTCATGTCCATGTCAGACCAAGTGTATTTTTTCTGAAACATTAACATATATGTTTCGGGACTTGTAATTTTACTGAAAACTGTCTGAAATTAATTTTTTTTAAAGGTTCAAATTCGTAGGTTTGTCCATTACACTGAAATTGACAAGATGCTTAGATGCATTTCTCCAATTTTTATTTTATTTTTAAGAATTCTCTTTTCACGCAAAATTCAGCATCATGTAAAGTCTTCTCAATCTATTTACTGTAATGAATTAATGGGATAAAGATCTGTCAGCCCATGTTATTCCGTGGGGACTAGAAAAAGGATGGTAAGAAGTTACACACGGGTTTTCAACATTGTAAAAGTGCAATTTGTATACACTGTACAAATTTATTCTCTAATAACTAGGTTTTTATTGTAAATATTTAAAGGCAGCCTAGCAAAAAAGTCTCAAACAAATCCACCCAAGTGATCAATGTAGACAATGTAGCCTTTCTAGACATGTGCTGCAACACACACACTTCTCTCTCTCCATCTCTCTCTCTATCTCTCTCCCTCCCCCTCTCTCTCTCCCTCCCCCTCTCTCTCTCTCCCTCCCCCCTCTCCCCTCTCTGTCTCATCTCTTGCTCCCCCTCCCTCTCTCACCCCCTCCCTCTCTCTCTCTCTCCCCCTCCCCCTCCCCCTCTCTCTCTCTCTCCCTCCCTCTCTCCCTCCCTCTCTCCCTCCCAACCACTCTCTCTCGAGGAAGGAGACAGGTGGCCTTTATAAAGAGGTTACCACTGTTAAAAGACAGGTTTCACTCTACTTGCTTTCTATAGGCCTCAGAAACCCGAGACCACGTAGAGGTGTGTCCGAGTGCTGTAGTCACAATCAATGCATGTCCAATATTGACAGGTGGCCTTTATAGAGAGGTTGCCACTGTTAAAGACAGGTTTCACTGTACTTGCTTTCTATAGGCCTCAGAAACACGAGACCACGTAGAGGTGTGTCCGACTGCTGCAGTCATAGCCCAGGAGATGGCGAGTCGTATCTACAGTGATGGCGGCATGGCGCTCATTATTGACTATGGACATGATGGGACCAAAACAGATACATTCAGGGTAATTACTTTTTCTTTTACATTCCTCCTTTTTGAAATATTGATGTCTAGTTTTGATCCGATTTCTTGCTCATAGGTTCAGTCTGTCACAAGTAACTCCTGTTAAAGGTTGTTCTGAAAGTCTGAGCAAAATCCAATTAAAAAAAAATAGGAAAGTTGTGAATTTGGGAAAGTTGGAATCAAACGATAAATTGGCAACTCGGTGATATCTTACAAAAGTCCTCTCCCATTTGCAGAAAATTTATATAAATCTCTACTTTGGTTTTATAGAGGAATGTATCTTTGAAAACTTATAGTTTTTTTAGTGCAGAGCAAATGGGCAAGTAACTTGAAAGATTCACCACAGAGTTGCCATTTTGTGTGTGAATTATTGTAACTTTAAACGATTCATATTTTGCTCAAACTTTCACTGATCTGTTTCTCTAATTTGTTTTGCTTCTATGGAATTCAACTTTATATTAGGACAAAACCATTGACCTTCGAACTTTCTGAAAAATAAGCAATGACATGCTTAATGTTGCTACCAGACAATATAATTGTAATACATGCATGTGTACATGTATATTTAAAGTGTATGCATATGTATATTCAAAGTGTACATTGACTAAATTATGGGAAAAAAATATAAAATTTGAAACTAGTGATGTCCCATGTTTTACTTTTTACTCTTTTCATATCTTAATGTAATAGATGTTACCCCTGTCTATTCATTACTGTAGCGCACCATACATTGTGTTTGAAAATTCCCATTTTGAAGTGACTTTGAATTGTACTTCATTTTAAATAGTACCGGTAACTAATATTCTGTCTAATGGTACCTTGTTCATTACTCTACTGCTATGGGCGACTGAGCAGCCTTTTAAAAACATTGTGTACCAAGCTTAGTCTGAAGCAATGAATGGGTCAATAGCCCTGCGCATTATTTCATTCCGAAAACGATTGCTAACTTTTTGTTGTTGACAATGTCATCTTTTAAACACCATGTTGCTCAGTCATCCGTGGCAGAAAAATTATTAATATGGTATCATTTGAAAGAAAAAAAAGGGTCCCTTTTTTTTTTAACGTGATATAGATTTAAAGGTCAAGTCGACTACGACTTCAATCATAAACTACCAAAGTTGGGTATACTTTTTTTGTGATACATACTGTATAGGGATATGTATACAAAATACATGTGGAGTATTCTGTGTCAAATCACTGGCATTCTACATGTCGGTGTCAATGTTGCGTCAATTTTGGCAGACGTGCCAGTGACTAAAATCTATATCGTGGTACAAAGTGACCTTTGATTAAATTTCTCCCTATCAACAGGTTTGTCTGTTTTGTTGATATTGACATTTAAAGGCAAGTACAAATCTAGATCTGCCATTACTTGCCATGTCCCAACGACATCTTGATCTTTGCTTTAAAGGTAGTATACAAAGTTTTGGTATGGGGTCATGACATTAGGAAAACATCTCATTTGAGCTCTGCTCACCAGTTCACCACTTTTCCTGGAGCTACCATAATCTGATAGGAGCACTGACCACTGATAAAGGGATTACCAGTAGGGTCCATGGGGAGAGAGACAGCGGTCAATCATAGCCTAGTTACTGATAAAGGGATTACCAGCTGGTATCTGATATCCAGTCCAGATTCATAGTCTTCTCATCGCAGACCCTACACCTATATTTATAATAGGCCTGGATTCAGTGTGTCTAAAGTCTCACTTCATATTGTTTTTTTTAGCAAGTACTAGCTATTTAAGTTTCTTTTACGTATAGAAGAGAACATTGATGTGCTTGGCAATGGAAAAATGCAGAAGGAAAATATAAAGGGAGGATAAAATAGGGAAAGACGGGTGATAATAAGGAAAGATGGAAATGGAGGGAAAGAAGGAAGAGAAAATAAAGAATATAGCATAAGGAAAGATGGAAAAGGAAGATAAAAAGTTTAAAAAGAAATACATAAGGAAAGATGGAAACAGAAGATAAAGAAGGTTAGAAAAAAAAGAAATACATGAGAAAAGATAGAGAGAATAAAACAAGGTGAAAATAGAGGTATACATAAGGAAAGATGAAAAAGATAAAATTAGGAGAAAATAAAGAATAACATAAGGAAAGATGGAAAAGGAAGATAAAAGAAGGTTTAAAAAGAAATACACAGGGAAAGATGGAAACAGAAGATAATGAAGGTTAGACATAAAGAAATACATGAGAAAAGATAGAGAGAATAAAACAAGGTGAAAATAGAGGAATACATAAGGAAAGATGAAAATTAGAAAGACGGAGAAAATAAAGAAGGGCATAAGGAAAGATGGCTAAAGAAGATAAAATTAGGAGAAAATAAAGAAATATATAATGAAAATTAGAAAAGAGATGTTGAAAGAAGGAGAAAAATAAAGAATAATATCAGCAGAAAGGTATATAGAACAAAGGTGATAATAGTGAAAAACATGAGGAAAGATGGAAAGGAAACATGGAAAGGAAACATTGAGAAGATAAAGAAGTTAATTGGACAAATAAACTTTAAAAAAACCACCAACCAACAAGCGTTAACTGGACCAAACTTTGATTGGTCATGTTGCTGCATAATAACCTAAAAAGGGCGACTTGAAATAATCGCATTGTCACAAGTATTTTAGTTTTTCTGCATAAATATAATCATTACCTTAAAACATAAAGGTTAGATGGCTTATGTATTGAACCAAATCATTAATAGGCAAGCTTGCCCAGTACCTCTTTGATCAAACGACACGGCGAATTTTTAAGAACACTAAAAGAAAATACACTGAAAAACGGCCGCTCAGAGTGCCGGGCGCATTCACGATACTGCATGTGGCAAGCTGTTCCGAATTGGGTGGTGGAGTAACGCCTTTAACAGAGGCTATATTTGTCGACCTTACCCGACTTTCAAATGGAGAATCTCACTTTTCGGTGAACGGGGACCGAAATACCCCACTTGCGTGTCTGGTATTACAGACCGCTTTCTTTCCCGATATCTTCGCGTACACCAAGCTTCGTGAGAATGAGCAATCTCAGAATCTGGATGAATGTTGTCCTTGTAGTGTGAGGTTCATGAGTAATTATTGTTATAAACTACGACATATAGTATGGATGATAATGTTTGTCAAGTTTATTGCGGACTATGTCATCCTAATAAAAGTATTAGATCAAGTAAAAAGGCTTCAATTAAAATAGTTAAACATGACCAGAAATCATTTTGATGTTAAGATATTTTTGACGCACTTCTCGTCATGATATTGAATTTATAACATACAACAAAACGAGGACATCATAATCATAAAGACGTTCGTTGTGCAGATATGTATTTGCTTATTAATACATACAGTGACAAAAAGAATAATGCGCTATAATCATGAGCAAAAAACCAAGAGGTTTCGGAGAAAGGTAAAAAATCATCCGAGCAGTCAATTAGGCAATTCTTCAACAATCTTTAGTATAAAAAAGTGAAAAGGTTTAACTGTCGTGATAAAAATGAGCTTGTCATAGAGATTTATTATACAAGTGAGCATCGAAATGTTTCTTTAACAAACTGCTATAAAATTTTGAAACCAAATACTCTTGTGCTGAAATTTCATATCCTCAGTATCGAGAAGCATAATGTTCCATTATGGTTGCATCAACTATTGTACAATAGATTAAGCCCTTCGATGTCTTGTAATATGCCCTAATTACTTGGCTAATTATTATCTTTCTAAAGGATTGTAGATTTGAGAGTTTCTGTTTCTTTCATGTTACATGCAATGGACATTCAATCATCACGGCTTGCTTGTGGGGAAATAAATATTGTATCCTCTACGTATACAGATCATATTAAATCGAATAAAAGTTTGATGAAATTCAATTCTTATCTTGCCAGAATCATCATTTTTTTAAATACCGTCTTTATAACGAATTCCAAGAAATATGCCGTCTGCCTAAACAACCACCCCCCCCCCCCTCTATTTCAAATTTGACGTCTAAGCCCCGGCCACTCCCTATTTTCAAATCCTTGATCTGCCGTTTGGGGGGGGGGGGGCAAGAAATAGGCAAAGAAAGTTGAGTAGACCTTGAGATTACGCACGGAATAAATGTAACGAAAACAATATTTACAACATTCTATTCTTGCTTTAATACCTCAAAAATATCTAACAGACAAACCAACAAAATGTATGTTTTCCCGGCCTTTCCTTATAGGCCTAGGCCTATATATTTACAACATTCTATTCTTGCTTTAATACCTCAAAAATATTTAACGGTCAAACCAACAAAATGTATGTTTTCCCCGGCCTTTCCTTATAGGCCTAGGCCTACACCATTTTTCTAAACGCGTTCGAGTTTATTTCGTCTATGCGAATACATTTGGTGGCGGAGTAACGCCTTTAACAGAGGCTATATTTGTCAACCTTACCCGACTTTCAAATGGAGAATCTCACTTTTCGGTGAACGGGGACCGAAATACCCCACTTGCGTGTCTAGTATTACAGACCGCTTTCTTTCCCGATATCTTCGCGTACACCAAGCTTCGTGAGAATGAGCAATCTCAGAATCTGGATGAATGTTGTCCTTGTAGTGTGAGGTTCATGAGTAATTATTGTTATAAACTACGACATATAGTATGGATGATAATGTTTGTCAAGTTTATTGCGGAATATGTCATCCTCATAAAAGTATTAGATCAAGTAAAAAGGCTTCAATTAAAATAGTTAAACATGACCAGAAATCATTTCGATGTTAAGATATTTTTGACAATTTTAGACAATATCATATTTAATTGTGTCCATGTACTATATCGAACTAGACAATTATGATGAAACTTGAAAGGAACATAATTATAACCAGGAAGTTCCTGATATAACTATGTTTATAAAGTGAAGCAAGGAAGATGAAACTGGCATCTCCCATGTATACCGGTAGCTATGAGAATGGACATAATCCGAACCTATATGAGACTGCGAATAAGACTAGAACATCATGGAGGAGTTCCAAGCAGTACTTATCAAGGTTGGGCTGGCGATGT